TCTACAGATTCGATCAATACCAACCGGTTGAAACAACAAGATTCTGACGTCAAGAGGAAACGGCTGTTCTGAACGTGCATACCCAACATACCGAGAAACCCACTGGAAAATAGAGAAAAAGAGAGAGAGAGAGAGAGAGGGAGAGAAAAAAGAATTAAAACCAACCAAATTACCTAGCCGAAAAAGAGAGAAAAACCACCGCACAGTAAGAAAGAAAAAAAGAAACATCCGTTTTGACGAGAAAAGGAAGAAAGAAAGAAAGAAAAAGAAAAAAATTGGAGAACGAGAATTCGGATTCCCCGTGATCGTCTGACCGACATCTTCGGCCCTTCTCTCCTTCTCCCTTCAAGTACGTGTCCGCGAAAACTCATTTTCCGGCGGACAAAGTGGCCTACTTTGATACTTGTCACGAATCTGAAATCCGCGGGAGCAAAGGGTCCATTTGAAGATTACAAAGGTAATCTCTACGGTCACGCAAGGGACAAAGAGAGAGCGAAAGAGAGAGAGAGAGAGAGAGAGAGAGAACCGAACGAAGAGACTAGGGGGATGGTGGTAGGGAAAATCGGATAGAGGACGGTTAAAGGACCAATCTGACGGACGAGGCCTCAACAACGTCGACGAAGATTTAAATTTCCATTTCCTAGCCCGACACACACCCTCTTTGAGGCGGGCGACGTCTCTCTGTTTTCCCCTCTCCCCGCAGTCGCACGGACGTTTCCTCCGATCTCTCGCTCTCCGTGAAATTATTTTCCTCCATCGATTTTACCGCCCCCCCCCCCACCCCCACCCCTCTGTCAGTTTCTTCGCGTCGACTTTAACCAGACGAAAGTGTGCTCGATTTTTGCGAAACGAGACGCGTTACCATCTTCTTTTTTTTTTTCCTTGTTTCGACGAATGTCGCCTCAAAGGCGCTTTATTATCGGAGGGGAAGGGAGAGGAGAGGGAGGGAAAAAGGCAACCCGCCGTTCGCCTCTCGAGTATTTTTGCCACCGAGCCTTTTCCACGTGAAACGAGATAAAAGCGATTGTTAATATTGGCACGCTTGGCTTCGAGTAAATATCGGATTTCAAATTTTCGTTTACCCCCCCCCCCCTCCTCCCCCCGGATCGAACGAACGTAAATTATGAAATTTGCCGGTATTTTCAGTATCAAATAATCGTTCGTCCAAATAATAATTAAAAACAGAGCGCGCGTTTTTGGATGGTACAGCGATGAAATAAAATGGTTGCTGCGTCTTGGCGTTTAGAAACATTAATACCCACGATCAACGTTTGCAAAATAGCTTCAGGAATAAAAGGATAATAATAAAACAGTAGCGAAGTAATAGTTTTTTAATATAATTGTTGTTGCATCTTTACATATTTTATCGTCCTCTCCGAGCTACGATAGCTTTAGTATCAAGAAAGAAGCAGAATCGCGTTGCTTACGAGAAATGAAATGCTTTCGTATCAACAATGCGAAAAATCGTTTGTCACGCGTTAATTTCACCGTGAAAAGAGACTCGTTCGAAATGGTAATTGCATCGCCGCCTTTTCGAGACTGCGTAGACCCGCGATGGAGAATAATTGCCTGGAAGCGTTAGTAATTAAACAGTTCGAAGCGACGCGTGATAAATCGCATTTTCGCGTGCATTGTTCGCCGATTTTTTTTCTTCCCTTGCCGCTGGTAATAAATTTCCGAGCGTATCGACTCGGTTTCCTACCCCGAGTTGCCCGTTTGATTTTTTGCCCCGCCGCTAACCCTTTCTTTTCACAGCGCGTCCGCCGTCCTTGTTTCTCGTTCTCGAAACGACGCCCGATGCAAAATACCCTCCGTTTCTTGTCTCTCTTTTTCTTTTTCTTTTTTCTCTCTTTCTTTCTTTCTTTCTTTCTTTCCCCCCGCTCGCCAGGGAGCGTCGAACATTTCTCTTCCCTCTTTTATTTCGCCCGTCGTTCCCTATGCATTTTTCAAGCCTCCGGTGCATAGTCCTGTTGATTTGCGGTGAACCACAATATGGCCTGCTCTAGAGAAATATATCGTTCACTTAACCATTTATAAACCAAATTCTCCGCCGTCTTTCTCTCCCCTCTTTTGCCTTTTGTTTTTTCGTCCTCTTTCCGGGAAAGATGGCTACTCATTCTCGTCCCTTCGCAGAAATTTGCATTCGCGTTGTTTGAAAGTGAAAACAAAAGAGAAGTCAGGCAGTTCCCCTTCTTTCGCGAGGAGAAATTTTTGAAGATATTCAGATTGCATTTGTTGAAATGTCAGAGTTACTTTGAGCACTCTGGTCGAGGGGTGAATTTGAAATTCAGCGGGGGCAAATACAACATACTGAGGAGCATTTCGTTCCGTTCTATTAACGGTAGATCGTGAGAGAAGTTATCGCGGGCAATATAAATCAGCCGCAAGTTCAAGGGTCCCGTGAACTTTCACCTCGAGCACCACGTATCTCGACAGTGGGGGATTAAACACGCGGATTTCGAAAACTTCGATCGTCCCGCGAATAAATTAATTTGAGCCTCTGTCCCGTATCGTACTCGACGATTATAAATTTCCCCCGACTGTTTTTCTCGCAGCGACTCGTGTTATTATAGTCGATTTTTCTTCTTTCCTCTCTTTCTATCCGTCGATCTCGCGTTTTGCACCGGGGAAAAATATGAAAACGCGATTCTATTTCAATCGTTCGTGCATAAACACGCAGCGTTTTGGAAATTTTATGCCCGACGGAGGAAATTTTAATAAACGCGTTATTTAATTTCGGCTGTTTGCCAGGGCGTTTCGGGTTTCGTTTCGGCTGTTCGAAAATATTCCCTGGATTTTTCGAATCGGCGTCCGCGGGATGGGCGACCACGCGGGATTCTCATACGTCCGCGACTTTGTTAACGGCTATTGTAAAAATCCTGTGGAATCACGATCGAACAATGAGCCATTCATCGGCGAAATATTTCCTTTCCCAATGGAATTTCTGATATACGGGCGCCGTACGTCGGAATTTTAATTAAATGGACGTTTCGCTCGTATTTTTCGATTTCGTGCTTTCGTTAAGTTCAAGCTCGTCTTGGTTATGCCGATTAAACAAGCTGAAAACTTGGCACGACGTAGATAAATTTACGTACACTGGTAAATAATGTACGTAATATATGTAACATAAATAAATAATATATGTAATATATATAATATTATATATATTATTTATAAGTAATATATGTAATGTATGTATATTATTTATAAGTAATATATGTAATATATATTATAAATAACGTACGTAATGTAAAAAATAATAATGCAAATAATAATATAAAAAAGGTACAGCGCGATGTTAATTTCAAATTAATTTAAATTAAATTCCAACATAACATGAATAAATAATATATATATTATTATAACATACATAAATGATATATGTAATATATATATATAATATGTATATAATATGTATATTATTTATAAATAATATGTATTATAAATGACGTACGTAATGTAAAAAATAATAATACAAATAATAATATAAAAAAAGACATACAACGCGATGTTAATTTCAAATTAATTTAAATTAAATTCCTGAAGTCAGAGCAATTTGAACAATTTGTGAATCGTTTTGCAACGTTTCCTAAATGTCCCTGAGATTCATTTGTGGCTCAATGTGTCTCCGCTTTCCGACGAAGCAATTGCCCACGGTTTTATTTTAATAAAATTAAGACGCACTCGTTGTGTACTCGTCAGCTTCTCGTCCGGATTATTGAAATTCCGTCGCGTCGAATATATAAAAGACGCGTTCGCCATCGAGCTGATAAAACGTCCGTCGCGATTAAAACGCGGCAGCTATGCCAGCTATTCGAATATTAAAGTCTCACCGAGGAAAGAAAAAAATCGTCGTATATCAAGCCAACGTCGTCCCCATACGATCTTAATTAACAGAGATCCGCTCTCGCGGGTCTCTAAACGCTGTTTAGAATTTTCTTTGCTTCAAATATCTTGCGGAGCTAGCGCTAAACGATTTTATTACTGTCGGAGAGAGAGAGAGAAAGAGAGAGAAAGAGAGAGAAAGGAAAGAAGGAAGAGAACGAACGTGGGATGACACAAAAAAAGAGTATACGTTGTGTCATACGGATATTAAAGAACGAACGACATAAATCACGACGTTTCCCCTCTGTTCGACGCACGTGAACGAGAATTTAATCAGACTGTCACGTCAAAATTGAATTATTCCCTCCGTAATTAGCTTCGTTGAAAATTCAAGCGCGATTCGGGCAACACTTGATCGATCGCCGCCAATTCTTTTTTTTTTCCTGTTTCTTTTTTCTTTCTCTTATTAATCGGGCAACCCGCAGGGAAAACGATGTAAGCGGCAGAAAAATGGAATTTTTTTAACAGACACGCGAGGAAGGATTTAATGAATATATTAGATCTTTCACTATTTTTCACTTCGCGAGTAAAATTTCCCTCTACGCCGCGATTTGATCAGTTCCAAGGCCGAAATTTAACGAACAACTTTACCTAATCAGTCGCGGACAGCCAAAAAATTGTTTGCTTGTCACTTTTGATATTCTATATCCTAAGTAATTTCGTATATCCTGTATATATTCTAAGTAATTTCGTTCTTATCTCGAAAATCTGTTCCATCGCTTTTTTTAAATCCCCGTCTTGTAATTTAGAAATCAAAGGATCGAGGAGACAAATCGTTCGATACAAACGTTAATTTCAGGCATTCGCTCGCGTGATTGCAATCAACGAATTTCATTTGAATTCCAATTACAATAGATTACGGCATAGAAAATTAACGATCGTTTCTTCTTACAAATCGTGAGTGAACTCTTGCTGTTTCGTGTTTAAAATTAATCGATTCGAATCACGTGTGATATTTCGTTGAGTAATAAAATAATAATAATAATAATAATGAAAGACAGAGCAGACAGAAATAGGAATTTTAAATCACGAAACACCTGGGCCATCTGATATCTGTTGGAGAGGGAAGAAAAATTGGCTGAAAGTTGACCACTCGGCACATTTCACTGTTACAGAGTGGCACGACGAATCCCACGGTGAAGCTGTTCTACGTCGACTTGGAGAAGGTGGTCCACGGTAACGTGAGCTTAACTGAAATCGAACATCCGGACGAGTTAGCCTCGGAGGAACGGATTTTATCTGCTGTTGCTTTTCCTACGGACAATCTCGTGTACGCGACATGGATGAACAGGGAGCAGAACAAGGCGTATTTCCACTTCTGTTACGTCCATGATTCACTGCCCAATTGCACTACCGTACGTATAGACGTGTACATTGTGCACGTGCTGAACAAATATTAATTGTCAAGTCTCCTGAATCCCAATTGGATTTTTCTTTTTTTGTATTTATAGTGACCCAGACTGAGTCAGATCTCACCAAATTTTATATAATTTTATTTTATTTTATTTTATTTTATTTTATTTTATTTTATTTTATTTTATTTTATTTTATTCCATTTTATTCCATTTTATTTTATTTTATTTTATTTTATTTCATTTTATTTTATTTTATTTTTCATGTGTTCGAAGCAGGTTTTCATATTAGATTTATATATTATATATATATTATTAGATTTTATTCATTGAATATTTCAATTATTGATTAGTTATGATTACATTTTCTAGTAAAATACACGCGTTTAAATTTATTTCAAATTAATTGGAATTAATTACGAGCAAATTTTTATATTTGACTCTTCTTTCATCGAATGTTTTTTAAGTTATGTAACAATCGAAGAGAAAAATTCACATCCATTCGTTTTGTAATAGCGAACTGTGAGAAGCAAATTTACAACATTTTCCTTTTTCTCCAATCATTCGTTTCAAATTTTTTCGAATTGAATTGAATTTGAAAGAAAGGAAAATCCAAATGAATCTTAATTTCATTTATAACCATATGTATATTTATTTCACGATTGTACGATTTTGTTTCGCTCGTTCGAGAGTTAAAAAAATTCAAAGACGAGAAAAGACCTTGCTAAGTCCGCCGTCGAGTTTGCCGATTTTTTTTTCTTTTTTCTTTTTTCTTTTTTTCTTTTTTTTTTTTTTGTCAGTTCAAGCTAACCGCGTCAGCAAGATAAATAGGATTTCCACGCGTCGCGTGGTTTTCATTTAAAATTTTCACGGACGGTTTTATCGTCCATGAAAGACGAACTTTCCCGGTTTAATTAGACTCGTGGCACGGGTTGGAAGTATCGCGATTCGTTTAGTTCGCGACACCGGGTTTTGGCGACTCGTGGCGAACGAACGTCGTAGCGAAGAGAGCGTTATTTCATTTATTGTTTCACGAAACGGATGCGAGCATCCGCGGACGAATTCAATCGAACGTTTCCACGTATGTGAAACTTCCCTAAATTCAGTTTCGTTCCCCGTGACTCAGTCTGCGATGCATACTTTCTACCAACTTGCACGTATTTTCAAACAAAGTTCACTGTGAAATTTCTGTGAAATGCAAAATCATAATTATCGATCTTCTCCAAATTTTGACACCTTCGAATACCTTATTTAACCGAAATATGAAAAACTTCGTGTCCATTTGCAGTTCTGAAATTTCATTGAATCTAAAATTTGTCAAATTCCTATTAAATTCAAAATTTCATCGATTTTTGTACTTGAAAATTTGTACTTGAAATTCGGAAGTGTGTAAAATTAAGCAAAGTAAATATCTCCCCCCTCCTTCCAAGAAAAAAACAAATTTAAAAAATTCCCATACAAGCGGAGAAATCGATCGGGGATCGGGATGGCGAAATTCTCCGTGCATCGCGGTGAGTCTCGTTAACATTCGCATGGAGATCAATCTCCTCGTCGCGGCACTCCGTCGCTCAATTTCGCCCTGGAACGGGTCGCTATGAATATCGTGGAATCGGCGAGATAATCGCGCGGATCCGCTCGTCAAAAGGGGAGTAGTTGCTCGCCGATGCATGGGGAAATAGGATCGGCCGGGCTGAGCGACGCGATGCGCAATTTTTCGCGAGCTGGTTTCCACTGGCTGCGAAGAGGGCACGACGGAGGATGGAGCACTGGGATGAAATATTCATTTTTTCCAGGCGCTGAAGCACTCGGAGAGGCACGGATGGGTCGAGCAGTTCGAGCCACCGGTGTTCAGCGACGACGGTGACTCGTTCCTCACGATTCTGCCGCAGAGGCAGCACGACTCCAGCTACTGGCGGCATGCAGTCGCAATTACCAGCGTTTCCACTGGAAAACCGAGGAACGTCGCCCTAACTTCCGGCCGGTTCGTCGTCACAGAGATAGTTTCTTGGGACCAGAAGAACTCGTACCTGTAAGTGTGCTACTTAGTCAGTTACTCGCTTGTTAAGGACCAACGTTCCCGTTTTATCGTTATCGTGACCGTTTCGTTTGCTATTTTAATTGATTTGTGCAGGGTATTCTCCGTTCTATAATTAGGCAAAAATAAGACTAGACTGTCGTCTAGAGAAAAGTCCATGGACGCTTTGTGAAAGATGTAAGCTATAGTGAATAATGCGAGGCCCTCCTTTGTCGAAAATTAGTTCTTTGAACTCGTATGCTCGATGCTGGAGGTGACGACAAAAATTTGGAAATTGTTTTGAAAATCATCACGCTCTGAAAAATTATAAAAAGTAAATTATATAATAATAAGGATAAACTGAGACTTGCATAATTGAATTATGCCTAGTTGTACGTTAATTTGTCTAATTAAAATAAATACAAGTGAACGCGAAACAACATTGAAAACAAATCGAGTTCCTCAAAATTTGATGTATTTTTGATTATAAAAATCAACGCAGATTTTTTTACAGTCAGTTCATTTCGTGCAAATGTTTCTGTATTGTGAATTTCTACTTTCGAATGAATATTTCTCCTTGAGTAGAAGTATGAAGATGTAAAGTTTGGTGAGATAAAAGACTAGGAGATTGATCATTCTGGACTGAAATCCATCGTTGACATTTGTCATACCTCGTATTTTTGTTATAACATTTTAATGAAGCTTTTATGAACTTTTCGATGGGTAATATATTAATGACACATTTATCTACAAACTACGCTGGTAAAGTTTGAAGACTAAAATTTTACAGGGACATCCTGTATATATAGGATAATACAATTGGTCATATAAAAAAAAGAGAAAAATGGAAGATGGAAGATTTTAAATTTGAGATTTCGTTTCTGAGAAAATTGAGTTTGACAATTTGTCGTTCCAAAAATATCACTCAATTTCTAAACTCAATTAAAACATTTATAATATCACGATAAATTGTTGCTTTTCGATGTAGTTCGTATTATAAAATTCGTACGAAATTCGTAGAAAATTTGTAACTGATTCAACACAGTAACGAGGAAATTAAGATTATTTAGACGCAGTTTGACGAGCTCGTTTGAAATGGTCGTTGTTCATTAGTTTGTTCATTAGCTGTACTCTTGCGGTGAAAATACCTTTTGAAAGAGAGAGTTTGATTCATGCATACTATACAAGCAATCTCTATACAATTTACTTTATGATAAATTCAGATAGACGAGTGCACATTGTGAAAACGTTTTATATTTAAATGAAGATATATTTTACAGGAATCGTAAAATTTAATTAAACAACAGAAACATATTTATATCAAAACAGTCACAACAGTTATTTTTATATTTACAACAGAAACATATTCATATCTAAATTATTACACTAGTTGTTTTCACATTACGTACAAAATTTACAGATATTTTTAACCACACGAGCACTACAAATTATTACGTACGCTTGATTATTTCAATATCATTTAAATTCATTGATTATTAAAATATCATTTAAATTCATAGAATTAAATTTTAATCTTTATACAACTCTCCTGTATCGTACACCGATCGAAGTTCAAGCGAAGCGATTTCAATTTTTTCCACCTCTGTAGAACCACCGATCTAACTTGGCCAGTTTCGAATCGGTTGGCATTAGTCACGGTCCATAAAATTTGCATTTTGGTGAGAATCCGTCCCCTCGAAGTATCCTGAATTGTGTGACAATCGTTCACAATGGGCTAGAGATCCGGATAAGGACCAGTCTCGGTCCTTCAACGGTAGCCCGGTAGCCCAATAAAGATTCTCTAAATGTGTATGGCCGAAACAAACCCTCGAAGCTGGAAAATCCTTTCCATCCACTTTGCCCTAACGGCGACGCTTGCAGCCGAACGTTCGAAAAGCCATTTAATGGAAAACGTCGCAGTTCCACTTTACTTGTAACCAAATTTGACCGGTCACCATCTCCGGGATCCGATTACTACGACCGACTACTACTTTCTGATTTCGTCGTGTCGTCTCTTTCGAACTTTCCTGCCCCGTCGAAGCCACCCTTTTTGTTTCACCACGAAACTTCGCTTCCTGTCGACGGACGTGACGAGCCACGATAATTAGGGATACTTCGTGTCGATCGACGAACGGTTGTAGAAAAACACTGCTGAGCGTCAAATTTCCGAGAGTAAAATTATCCACTTTTTAATTATTTCATTGTTAAATGTTTCCGTAATACTCTGCGAATACTCCCTTTCGAATTAATCCGACAGTCGAAACGCGATTGACTTGAAATTATTTTCAATGAGGCATGTTTTTGATAAACATGCGAATATATTTATTTTGCCTAATTACTTATATACATATATTTAATTACTAATATATTATACATATATTTATTACTAATTTAATCATTATATCTTATTTTTAAAAATTAAATCTTTTTTAATAATTTTATATATGTATATATAATAATTTTATAAATTTATAATAATCTTTAAAAAAGAAGAAAAATTATAAAATTTCTTCTATTATTAATTAATACTAAAATCACAGTTTTAAAAATAAAATTAATATTATATAACTAAATTTATCCCATACATTTTTTATATAATAAAATTAATTAAATAATAATATTATTATATATAAATTAAATTTATTTTTTTAAAAAACTAGATATTAATAAATACGACAAACATTTAATTTCTAAATATATATATATTTTTTTTACAAAAAAAAAATAATACATTTACGACGAGAAGTAATTCTGTTTGTTCCTAAATTACTTGCGCAGAGAGTCAAAAATCTATTTTTGATTCTTTTGGTCCTTTGATTCAATTTTAGCACCATTTGATAATTATTCGTGATAGAGGAGTGGTAGAATTACTTAGTTTCGAATTATTTCATTGTTATATGTTACTCGGACTGGAAGAAACTCTCTTTCGAATCAAGTCGAAACGCGACGTGAATCCTGTTTCTGTTCCTAAATTGCTTGCGCAGAGAGTTAAAAATCTATTTTCCAATTGGTCTGTTGATTCTAAATGTCACCGACTGTTTTGACAATTATTTCGTGAAAGAGATTCGCGTGTTTCAATCTCTCATCCCTTTGCTGTTCCGCGCGTTTTTCAAGAACTCGTGAATTATCGACGACTCGGCGAGACGAGAAATCGTTCGTTTCCATCGGAGACAGTTTTTCGTTTCTGGAAAGTGGATCCTTACAATTATTTAGTTCCTCGGCAGCTAAGAGAGAAGAGGGTGAGGGAGGTGGGAGAGAGGCGTTCGAACGTGGACGTTAAGTACGCCGACTTAGCTACGTGCTTCCATTATTTCTCGATAAAATACGACGAGAGAAGGATATTACGCCAGTGGGACGCGTTATATTGGGGATTCCCATGGAATCACGGAGCAAAACGTCTGCCACGGGCAGCGACCATCTAAACGGCGTTAACATTTATCATGTAAACGCACCGTTAGACATTGATACTGTGCGCACCGGCCGCTTAATTCAATCTCATTTCCCTGCAGAACAACTTCGAACGATGCCCGTCATTTCTGTTTAAGCACGTCGCCGCGTCACGTTTAATCACGTGGCAATTCGTTGCTTCTGGAGAACGAAATTAATTTCGCGTCTATCTGTGAACTCGTTTTAACTGCTTGGAGTGAAAGATCAAGCTCGCCGTTGTATTGTTTCTGGAAGATTTTGAAACAACGAGAATGAAGGGGTTAGGATTTTGATGTTCTCGATTGGAGTATCAGTGCAGTTCATTCGTGTGAAATTTCTGAAATTTCCTCTTGAGAAACGTGATTCGATTCACGTCGATATCCAATCCAATATTGTATCATTTTAGAATTCTTAGAAGGTAAAACGAACATCCAACTTGACTGTCCTATTTATGAAATTTCCGAAACTTTTCTTTCACAGTTCCCAACGAAAGATAAAACAAACGATGGAATTCCTTTTTACGCACGAAATGAAATATCGAATTTTTTTTTCTTCGTTTGTATTTCAATTTCACCGGCGAAGTTCACTTTTTTTATGTCCAATATTTTAAAAGATTTTAAATAACAGAAATCAAAGACAAACTTTCCAACCACATCCACCAAATATTTAAAATTTCTTCTTACAATACACCAATAATAAAAACATTCAAGGATAAAATTGCCCAATTTAAAAACTATGGACGGAAGATTCAGCAGCAAATTCGTCGCTGGAACGTGGAAAAAAAGAAAATTACGCAAACATCGCGGCACGATGCGATTTACGCGTAACGAAGGATCGATAGTTGCCTAGGTACACCGCGTAATACCTAGAAAATTGTGCTTAAACGAGCCAATATTTTTATTCGACGTTCGCCTCCGCCAGAGAGAGTTAGGAAGGAGTTGATTTTCCAGGGAGTAGGAGGGTGTACTTCTTAAGCGTCTTAACGCGTTCGATATCGGAGATCGCCTTAAGGGATCGTCAAGAAAAAAAAAAAGAATCAAGAAAAACAAAAAATAGACGGCCAAGTCGGCAAAGTCGCGTTTCGATGGCTTCGAAGAGGACAGTTTAATAAACGGACGGATGCGAATAACGAGACTCGGCCGAACTTTTCGCGCAAAACCTTCTGCCGGTGGCCGTTTTCCAATTCCGACACCTCTGTTCTTTTTTTTTTTTTCTTTTTTCTTCCGCCACCGAGTTTTTCGTACGCTCCCTCGTACGAGAACTCGCCGTTAGTTTCGCTCGTGTAATTATGCAGCACCGATTATTGCGCTAATTGGCACGCCGTGCGCGAAAACGCACGTACGTACGTACGCGCGCGTTTGTTTGCTCGTGCACGCTTCTGCCGAACGTGTGTCGCGAGCAAAGATCGTGGTGTGTCTCGTTGCAAGTTCGATTGAAATTAGCTTTCCCTTCTTTTCGATAATTGGGTATGTAGATCGTTAGTTTGAAAAGTCCTGGGAAAGCGACGCAATTTAAACACGTAGGTTTCTTTTAGTATTTTTTCTAATGTATTTTGTTGTAGAAATATGATTTGAAGAGATATATTTTAT